TCACGTCGGTGAAACCGCCGTGGGCGATGGCGTTCGAGTGATTTGGTGGACGTTTGTAGCCAGAGTCCATCTCTCCGCAGAAACCAGACATCACATGGCTCTCGCCTCGCGCTGGAAGCTGTCACTGTCGCTAATGCGACACATCAGAGATGAGATGCTGCTTCTCATTAGCATCAGGGGGTAAAGGGCATCCTCCAGAGGATTTGGTGCGGTGGCTGCCGCATCATTAACACAGGTGGCCGGCAGCAGCTCTTGGCCTTTCATTTGCTTTATATCATCTAGTCTTATAAAAGATCTGGATGCTCGGAATAATTGTTGGTAATGGCTAATGAGGAATTGTCAGGCATGCGATTGCTGCAGCCATTCCCCGCGCGGCAGCGTGGCAGACTTGCAGCCTGCTGCCGCAGCAGTATTTATTTGTTTTTTGCCAGCACCTGCTCACCTCGACCTGTATTGCCTGGGGTGATGGACGAGCACAGAGTGTGTCCTCAAGTTTAATAACTTAAAGGCTGAAGGGCTCAGACTCTCATGTATATCGATATTTCTTTTTTCTTCATTAGCATTTACAATGATTCTTCCCTAGCGCCTGCTCTTAAGACGGGCTCGCCGGGAAGCTGCCATGTTTTGTTAGCCCTGGGGTGTGTTTTTAAGCAAATGGCTGGATAAGCTGCTCCACAAGGAGAGGAGGCTGATGGCTGTTTTCTTCCTTGCTTTCTCTTCCCTAGAAATTGGCAGCTGAATGCCAGAGTGCCGGCTATCCAGGGACCCTCATCCCGTATAAGTGCGATCTTTCCAACGAAGAGGAGATCCTGTCGATGTTCTCCGCCATCAAGACCCTTCATCAAGGAGTTGATGTCTGCATCAACAACGCGGGGCTGGCTCGCCCGGAGCCCCTGCTCTCGGGGAAGACGGAAGGCTGGCGGACGATGATAGACGTGAGTAGTGCCACCGGGAGAGCAGGAACTGTGCTAGGTTTTTATTTCTTCTGGCCACCAGCAGCATTGTCCCCATCTACTTATTTCACGTGTGGAGAGCTGAGGACCTGCTTCCCATCTGCTCTGACACGGCCCGGGTTTGCTGATTGGGAAGTAGAAACACATCATGCACTGCTGAGTCACATGCCTTCACCTTGGAGTATGAAAACACTCAATACCTTCAGTAGCATTTTCTCCTTTAGCTCAATGGCTTTCTAAAGGGTGATGAGCCTCACTTTTTTTTTCTTCAATAAAATAGGAAATTGAATGCCAAGCACTGGCTTTTGTAGCTAATCCTGTTAGTTGTAGCAGTGGGTTGTAAAATGGGCAGATTCTTTTTGGTTTAAAAAGCTGTAATGCTTTTTGTCTTTATAGCTTAATTTTCTGCCCATAATCTGGTTACAGCTGGATGTGAACGACGCAATTTCACATGCCGAACGCGGAGTTTGTGCAAATGGCCCATGCCATTTACTAGCAGCGCTTCTTCCTAGGTGTTGCTGTCCTGAGGTGCTGCTGTGCATCTTTTTGGGACTTCACCATCTTTTGTCATTATGCGATGGCCCTTTTCTGCAGATAGCAGTGGCAGCCATGGCTGCGGGACGCCAGGCCAGTTTGTGTGCCTTTGCAATGGCCCTTTCGTACTGGCCTTCCTGCAGCTCTGGCCGGTGAGATGCTGAAACAAGAGCTTTTCACAAAGGTGATTTTCCCCTCCTATACTACCTACTTTTGTGCATGAAAGCTAAATCCTCATAGGAACAAGAGTAAACTCATGGCTTTGAGTAAACCTTGCAGCACCTCCAGCAGCTGTAAGGGCTTGTCCTAGTAAAGGAAAAGACATGTCTATTTGAAAAGCTGCTCGAAGCTGTACTACATCTGACAGCGGAGTGAGCCAGGATCTGTCGGCTCCTGCGGCAGCCGGTGGCTGTTCATCCAGCAGCAGATTCAGGGGCTGCGTAAAGCAAAACAGAGAGGCACATCGAGGCCTCAGACTCCTGCTGCCAGGGCAAGAGCTGCCATATCCTGGCTAATTAAGTTCTTGTTAGGATTTTGGCTGGTCTGCTGGCTGCTGTGACTGCAGCCAAAGCAAGCTCAGCTCAGCTTTGTCTGCCCAGCCAGGCTTTTGTGGGTTGCCCGGCCTGGGTCACTGCACAGCCACATCTCCCCGTCCCTGGTTGCCATGGAGTCTTTAAAGAAAATTAAGTGAAGTGTAGCTGAGGCTGAGCTGGTGTAAAGCAGGGCATTTCCCAGCACTGTCTCGCTGCAAGCCTGGCCCCGCGGGTCGCCTGCGCCTTGTAAACTCCTTGTCCTGGTCGCTGTCTTCGCGTCTTGTGTGGATGTCTCTGTGGATGCTGCGAGTCCCTCACACTCGCTTCTCTCTGTTCTTCTGACCTTTTGTTCTTTGTAAGGTGGGCAGGCTGGGGGACACACGTGGCTTTTGCCTGCTGAAGGCCCTTCCCCTCTCCCTGCTCCCTTCCCTGGCTGCTCAGGGGGGAGTGCTCCCTTTGTCTCACCTTCCACCACTTTTAGGGAGGAAGATTTTGGAACAGGGATTGTCCTGTATGAGACACTCCCGTGTTGGTATATACAGTGGCCTGACATGGGGTTTGGGAGCCTGTGGGGTCCCCCTCCTTGTGGGTGCTGCTGTGTGCACCCTTCGGAGCTGCTTCGGGGTGACGGATGGGGTGGGAGGAGAGGCAGGGTGGTGGCTGCGCAAGGGCAGTGTTAGGAAACCAGGCTGGGGGAATATTTTATTCCCAGAGGTGATCTGTACGGCTGTATCTACTCTCATTTGCTTGGCAAAAATGCTGTTGTAGCACTGGGAACAGACTGAGACACCCAAGCTTTCTTCATATGCTGGCAGATTTTTATCTCCTCTCACCAGCTTCCCAGCAGCTGGTGGGTTTGCTCTTGGCTTGTGTGTAATTGTCTGAATAACACTTGCACCTTTAATGTGAAGGGGAAGCCCTGGGACCCTCCAGACCCGAATGCTTCACCCACCTCAGCCTAGGCAGCCTGACAAGCCTGGGTTTTGCTTTTTAGCCTGTTGGTAAGCGGTAGAAATAGCTCGGGGTTTTTCCTTTTGCTGTGTGTCCCCAGTTTTGTGGCTGTGACCTCCCTGCTTGGAAATCTGGCTCTCCAAGCGTGCCGCGGCTGTGCAGGCGCCGGCGTGGCAGCGGGGTTTGGATCTGCAGTGACAGCTCTCCCCGCTGTGGCACACCAGCCCCAGGGAAACCCTCGCCAGGCCCATTTTTCCTGCATGCTCTGAAGCTCTCGGGGGGTCAGGACGGGGGAAGGTTGCCAGCGCCTTTCACGGGCCACTGGGCTTTGCAGAGCTGAGCGGGAGCAGGGAGGCTTCTTCCAAAGGTCCCTTGGAGAAAGGTGTTAGTGAGCAGCACAGTTTGAGAGATGCTGTTGGAAAGTTTCAGTGTACTTCTGGGGTGCAAGACAGGAGAAGTTTCTAAACAGCCGTCAATCTATCGATTTAGGAGGCATTAGGGCCTTAAATTAAAGGCATTTTTTTCTTTTTGGTAAATCGATTTTTGTTTCCATGCATTTTTTATGAGCTTTGAGGCTCTGTCTCCTTCCAGGCTTCCCTCTCAGTATACCATAAAATTTCATAAAATTTCTTGCTATACATCTAACAGTCGAAATCATGTTATCGTTTACTTATTCCTTCTCTTTTTTAATGTTCCAGTTCCTCATTGTCTGGTATTTGTTCCCAAGGGGGAGCTGCATCTCCCTGGGCTGCAGCAGTCTCATGTTGGGAATCGCCCCTCCGTTGCTTTACAGCCGCGGGGAGCCCAGCGCTGCCAGCCAGCAAATCCGGCGTGTGCCAGGGAGGGAGCGTGTTATCGCAGGCAGGTTCTGAGCCTGTCATCTTTTGGTTCACAGCTTCCCCCCTTTTCTCTCTACTTGTTTGTGAGGTTGTGCTTGACATGAGGCTGGAGCAAAGTCCTCCAGCCGTCCCTGATCCGCATGGGAGTAGCCGGGGCTGGGTGCTGTGTACACACTAACTCCAGGCTCTGGGATTTGAACAGCTCCTTCACGTTTTACCTACTGACCTTTACAGCCAGGAATTCAAGCTGAACTTTCCATTTGCACTGTTCGGGGCACAAAGGACTGCAGCATCCTCTTGCTCCTCTAGACACTAAATGGGTTTGATTCTTCTTGGCATTATTCATTGACCAGTGAGGCTCTGTTCTTCTTGCTTTTATATACCATCTGTGCAGAGAGATGTTTTCTGTAACCTGCGTTTTTATATGTATTTAGGAGCTGGGATACTCATTTTGATGCCTTAGAAAAGGCTGATTCTGGGAAGTGCTCAGTGCTTCCAGGAACAGCATCTTTTATGTTCTCCCAGCCTGGCAATTGGAACTCATTAATTACTAGAAAATGTGCCTTCGTTGTTTCTATTGCATTAGCACACACACGCGGCAGTCACAGACCAGCTGCCTTGTGCGGCGTGCTGTGCAAAGGCAGAGCACAGATGTGTTGGCCATCTCTGCTAAGGGACCTTTGAACCTTTTGTTCTTAAAATGGAAACAAGGCTGAAAAATGTCTTCCATGGATATTTGTAAAAATGGCCTTTAGATTGTTTCTCGAAGTGATACAGCCCTAAGACTTGCTCATTTTCCAGGCACATTTTTAGGTTCCTGAGTGCCTGTTCCACGTTTTGAAATGGGATTTCACCCAAAAATCCTGTGGGTGCTATAGGAAAAAGGCAGCGAGGCAATCCCAGCTCAGCTGCCTTCCAGCCAGTTGTTCTGTTGTACCGGGGTGTCTTATCGTACAGGCTCTGGACTTTCCTATGTGGCTGTTGATTAGTATCTTGCTTTGCAAGTAGTTGTCAAAATGTTGTAAGTCTACCCACGCAAGGAAGCGTTGCTCAGCATGAGTCACAGCGTTGGAGCCGGGTCTCAGGCTTTAGGCTGATGTTACCCTCTAGTGGCCTACGGAGATGGAGTGGAGCTGGGGAGCAACTGTGCCAAAGACATGGTGCCGGCTGGGTTCAGGGCGTCCTGGGGCAGGGAGGAAAGCAGAGATGTTGTTTGCCACGAAGATGTTGTTTACTAACAGTTGCCCAGATCCATATCTGAAAGGACTGGCTCCTCACTTGGTTGGTATATCAGACTGGAGCGGGTTACATCCGCTTTCCTTGACCTTCTTACCGTGAAATCCAAAAGCCTTCAGATGCCCTGCCTGCTCTGGGCTTCACTCCAGTGCTGAGGTGGTTGTACAGTGCCACTTCTGCTGACATGTCTGCTAACTTTCTTCCTTGCACAGCCAAGGTAAATCTTCAACCTGGTGCCAGGGAATTTATCTCTGTGGTTCCAGGTATGGTGACTGAGATACCCGGCAGTGACTGTGTGCTCAACCAAAGTGCACTTGGATGAGGGTGATGACTCTACTTGTTGTGTTGCCTGAGTACTCCAAGATCAGATAAACATGCTATTTATCTATCGCCAAGACAAAAACTCATAAGCATGGCCTCTAGTAATGAATAGAAATAATGACCAAGACAAAAGCAGTGACCGGAAGATCCTTCAGCTGACCACACTTGTCCTTTGTGTGCTGCTCAGTAATTACGTCTCTCGAATCCATCCCTTTCTGCCTCTTACTTTCTGGTCTCCAAACTAATGTTCCTCTCTTGCACGTCCTTTTGTGCTAGCAAGTCCTCGTTAGCCTGCCTCATTATTTAGAAGTTTCACAGCGATGGTAGGCAGCCCTCACGTGTATACTTCGCCCGCTGTCCACATGGCCTTGTTCCTGCTGCTCCTGCCATTTATAGTTGCACCTGACTTCTGATTCATCAGAAATTTAGTTCTTCCTGGATATTTAGTTCACAGCGGTGTTTTTAGACCTGTCTGGTCTGCTCATTTAGTTAGCAAAGTGACATGCCATTAGGTAGGACCTGCCAGTGTGTCCTGCCTTGAAATGGTTACATCCTTTCTAGAGGGCTTCAGCAGACGCTTTCTACTTTTCAGCTACTTTTCCAAATCTAAACCTCTATAAACTTGAGCAATTAGCACTGCTGCTGAGACGGCTTGCTCATCAGTCTTGCACACACCTCTGGGTGCTTTGTATTCCAGCTGGGAGAATTTCCATATCTCCGTCTTTCTGGAAATTTTGACTCGGTGTTTTACCGTCAGCAAATGCTAAGGCATCTGTGCATTAACAGTGGCACATTGCAGAGGTGATACGGCTGAGTTTAACCGAGCCACGGTGTGCTGGGCAGTGCTGGTCCAAAGAGCAAGAGCCTGGAAAGCTCTGGATTCTGTGCGAAAAGACTGGATAAATTGCTTTCTTCCTTGGCTTATTCAGTTAGGGCTGAGGAAATTGTCAGTGGACAGTGTGACAGATCGGTGGCTTTCATACCTGCAGGGTTACTTGCCCACTCTGGCCCTCCCCATGGCATGACGTGATCTTTGGCTTCATGTGTGCATGGGAAGCTCTTTGCTGGCCGTGTGGTTTGCAGTGCCTCTGAGCGCCTGGCACTCTGACAAGCAATATCTGGGGATTTCCTCGTTAACTAGCTGACCTAATTACCTGCTGTTAGTGTCCTATCAGCTGCCCAAACTCCAGTATGCTCAGTGCCGTACAAAATAAACAACTTTGTCTCCTGGACAGAGTGCTGACTGTGGGGAAGTGGGTTTGTTCTCCCCTACCTTGCACTCTACCCTCACTCTTGTCTGTAAAACAATTAAGTCCATTTATTTCTGGCAGAGGCCAAGGCTGTCTCACAAAACTGGATATCTGTGCCTCCCCTGCCCAAACCCCTTGTTACTGCAGCCCCCAGCTTGGTCGCAGCGTGATGTGGGGTGTGTGGCGAGGCGTGCGGTGTGCGTACGTGCATTTCCCTCCGTTGGCGTTTGCAGGAATTGCCGTGGGTCGGGGACTGTAACCTGCATCGTGGCTTTGGGCGTGCGGGGGGCAAGTCAAAAGGTGCCAGGCAGGGCTGCTCCTCTTAGTTTCTTCTTCTTCTTTTCTCTTCCCTCAGGTCAACGTGATGGCTGTGAGCATCTGCACCCGAGAGGCCTACCAGTCCATGAAAGAGAGAAACATCGATGATGGGCATATTATTAACATTAACAGGTACGCAAGGGGGAAACATGGGATCAGCCACGTGGGCTTCCTCCTCCCCGCCTCGCAGAGAGCATTTGAGTAACCTTGGAGTGGGCTGATGGTGCCCAAGGAGGGGTTTTCCAAGGATTGCGATGGTTGGTTTTCAAAGCACTTTTTTTAACCTCTGCTGGTCTAAATGCAAGAAAGACCAAACCAGGGAGCAAAGGATTAACCTCTGCTGGTCTAAATGCAAGAAAGACCAAACGAGGGAGCAGATAATGCCAACCACTTGTGATGGTGCGAGATTGAAGACTGAAACTTCTTGATCAGCTCCAGAAAACGGCTGTGTTGAGAGGAGCCTCTGGTGGTATGCATTCCCTGCAGGAGAGGGGAATTCCCCACGTAGCCACCGTGTCAGTGTCTCTTTCTGTGTTCATTACGGTGGCTTAAATATCCTGTTGGTTCCTTCTCGGGACTCTGCTTGCCTCCCCACCTCCCAGCACTTTCCTTTCTGCTCTCTCCTCAGCATGAACGGCCACAGCGTTGTGCCACAGTCGGTGGTGCATTTTTACAGTGCCACCAAGTACGCAGTTACAGCCCTCACGGAGGGGCTGAGGCAAGAACTCAGAGAAGCAAAGACTCATATACGAGCTACAGTGAGTACTGCGGGCTCTCTTCCTCTCTCCTGCTTTTGTGGGTGGTAGAGAGCTGGCAGGCTTTATGGGGCAGAGGTTTTCCCTTTGGAAAACAGGCAAGGAAATGCAAAAATAGCACTCAGCACACTGGGAATGTTCGAGTCCTGTGGCCAGCTGTCCCTGGCCACCTCTCTTGCCCAGGCAGGGAGAGACTGGGGGGCAGAAGGCACAGCAACAATGAGCTGTGTCAGGGAATACACTTTTTGGGTGCACAAAGTGGGCAGTTGCTTGTCCGGGAGCGAGGGGAGCTCACGACAGCAGAGGGAGGCAGTCAGCTGGGCTGTTTGCTCTCATGCAGAGCTTGCGTCTCAGAAGTGATGTGTGCAGAAGTTAATTTGTATTGCAAGCTTTTCCACCATTTTCTCTGCTTCTCTGTCCCTTTGGGGCCTGAAGAGGGAAGTACCCATCAGCGGTTCCCCAGAGGTACCTGCCGCAACAGTCATTAAGACAAAGCCTGCTCTCTTAAACTATTCCCCTAGAAAAAGGGTGGGGAAGGAAAATAATAGAAAAGGGGCTGGGGTTTTTTGGCTTTTTCAGTGCTAAAATGTTTTCTCTCCTTTTTGGTTTGTTTTTTTTTTTTATTATTCTTTTACTGAAGGGGAATTACAAATCCTATTAGGATGTGCTCTGCTTTTTTCCAGTGTATATCTCCAGGACTGGTGGAAACGGGATTTGCTTTTAAACTTCATGATAATGACCCCGAGAGAGCTGCTGCAACCTATGAGAGCATTCGGGTAGGAGATGGAGAAATGGAAACAGAGGGAAGTGGCTCTGATTATAGTTTAACAGTCTCTCTCCTGGCTAATAGCACAAGGAGCTAGTTCTGCAGAGTGCCCAGTGCTTTCCAGGATGTAACCAGCATCCCCAAAGTCTCAGCACTCAAACCTCAGATTTTGCACTGATATTTACACACTATGTAGATTTTCATTCAGGTTCAGCTTCCGACTCCCTATATTTTTCCTTTTATTTTGATGTTCCTGTAAATAAATATCAGTCAGCTTTGACATTTGGCAGGCTGTGACTTCTTTATTGAAGAGAAGATACAATAAGCAAACATGCCTGCACAAGAAGAAATGTGAGAGCATGTTGTCTTGCAGGTGGCTAGCAGAGGATTTTTCTTGTGCTTCTCTGGTAATTTTTGATAAGGATGGCAATGCCTGACCTGGCAGAATTACTGTGCCAGTAGTAAGATTATTCACAGCAAATGGAGAATTATCAGCACCAGACACGTCCTTTGTTAAACTTTCAATGGATTATTTTTTTCCTGCTTGCTTGCATCGTTTTGACATGCCCCAAGTGACACTGTCGAAACTCATTATTGATGGTTAGGGAAGAAGTGGTCTTGTGGTTAACTTCCTGAGGTGCCCTTTGACTAAGAATCTCTTTCCTGTCTTTCCAGTGTCTCAAAGCTGAAGATATGGCTAACGCTGTCATATATGTCCTCAGCGCCCCACCTCATGTACAGGTAGGCTGTGGTTGGGTTGGAGGACTCTGCGGTGGGTGGCTGAAGGCGGAGAGGGTAGCTGCTGCCCTGACATTTGCTCATCAGTGTTGCAGCCACTGTACCAGCTGTGTGCTTAGCGGAGCCTGGGCTGGGGATTAGCAGTGATCACGTTTGTTTACACTTCCCTTATCGGATCCTTGCTGATCCAGCAAAGGCTGCTCTGACCCTGGAGAAGGACTGCACAGGCAGGGGGAATGGTAGGGATATGGGCATGTTTTGCCCTTTTTTTGGATAATGCCATCTGAGATTTGCTGATAGTCTTGCAGCAGGGTCAGATCCTACCAGTTGCCAAATGACGTGTTGGGCCTGATCTTCCAAGTGCTGTGCACCTCCCCAAGGATGGTGTGAGGTGCTCGTGCTGCCAGAGGGACTTCCATCCTGTGAAACAAGAAATAAGTGACCAGCTTTGATCTGGAGCCAGGAGGAGGCAGGAGCAGTGTCAAAGTTTAGTATATGCAACAGAAAAGTTCCTGTGGCAAAAGCAAACTTTGATCATGAGAAGGTTTAGCAGCCCCTCGCGTGAACTCTGCTCCTTTGGAGCAAGATGTGGCTGTCTTGACATTGGATCAGTAGTGATAGCTGGCCTTGTTAAGAGGATAAAAAGTCCTGCCCGTGGCTGATCAAGCAGTGCTTCTGCTTGACCCTCCGTGAGCAGGACCAAACTAAAGACTTGAACCATGAGAGTTTGTAATCAGTGCCATCTTGCACTCTTTTCTGTGCACGTTTGTGCTTTTATCCCTTCCGCTAAAGGCAGTGCAGTCACATTCACCTTTATTTCTTTCTAATATCTCAGTTAAGCAGGCTCATTTCTAGTCACAGGGACTTTCTTCATGTGCAGCATGGGAAACGCCCAGTGCAGGATTTAAAATGGACTTCAGTGCTCCAGTGAAACCCTATGTTGGTCTCTTCTAGATTGGAGATATACAGATGAGGCCCACGGAGCAGATATCATAGCAAATGAAGAGGACCGTGAGCAGCACCATGTATCCACTCCACTTTGAACCCTCTGGCAATTTAGGGTTTCGTCGGCTGGCTAGCAATGTTTTAATCAAGTACCAAGGATCATGTTTGAAGAATTATTTTTCTCTCCCTCTCTCTGAGCTGGTGCTGGTGCTGAGCCAGTTTAAAAAAAATAGTAGTGGGTCTCTTTTCTCCCCCACTCCTTTCTGAAACTGCTTAAGAGTAAAATGTGTTTGAAAATAATGCAGGGAAGTGGTTTGTGGAAGATTGTTGTCTCCAGGCTGGTTTATTCTTCCTTTTGCTTTCTTTTCAAGGTTTGTTTGATCATCTTTGCTGATGCTGTGTCTGGCATAGGTGAAGTGGCACAAAATGTTTGCCAGCTTCAGTATGCTTAGGGTTTGAAATTTTCAGTGGATGTCATACATGAATCCATCTAATTTTTGGGTTTATTTTCATCAGATTGATTACTGATGGTAATGATGCATGTGATATTTTCTACTTCTTTCGTACTCCACTGCCCTAAACCCAGTGTACAATCGCACCCACCTCCCCAACCCTCCTTTCCCATTCACATGAATCATGCCTGCCAAGTTTGAGGAAGTATAAATGTGTGTGCTTGCTATTTCTCTTTCTTTCTAGGTAGGTAAATAGTTGGAGGAAAAGTACCTGTATTTCTGCAGGTTAGAATGATCATCTAAGTGGCATAGTTACAGTAAGAGTGAGTTGTTTGGTATTTTTAATAAAAACTAAATGTGTGCTGTCTTGTGATCACCTCTATCCTTGGTATCATCTCCCAGCACTCTTGATGTTTTTGTATGTGATATTTGCATGCATTGACATTTTTCTGGAAATATTGATCAGTCTTAGAAAGATGTATGGTGCTGTTTAAATGCTGGTGCTGATGAGTTGGAAATGTTGAAAGTTTGTTTATATGCAGAGATACAAACTCGGAGAGAGAGAGAGTGAAATGAACCATGCTGAAGCTGTCCAAAATGAAAAGATACTAGTAGGGGCATTTGCCTACAAAGCAGCAGGTAAAAGGTCTGGTTCAGATCTCATACTAGTTCTACGCTGGTGCAGCCCCATTGTTTTGCTCTGGATTTATTCTAACCTGAGGGAGAAGAGAATCAGCCGCAAAGCTGACATATGCAGAGCTGGAGACCACTTGAGTTGTCTTAAGATTCTTGCAGCATGGCAGAAGCACGTCTGTGTGTAGTCCAACTTGCTGCAGAGCTATGGAGCTGTTAACGTATATGTTGCCTTAAGATTGCAGATTCGCTCCTGCTGCACTCTGGACTTTCTGTAGCGTTTCGGAAGGCGAACCGTTGGTTTAGGTGGAGCAGGTATGGTCAGTTGATCGGAGCGGAGGATTGGGAGCCAGAGAAACTTGGGTTGGATTGCTTTGCTTACACCAATATAGCTCTGTGGGAGTTCATCTGTGTTACACCACCATAAGGGAGACCAGAATTGGGCCACTCCGTCATGAGTTTCAACTCCTTATAAAGCCTTGGGCAAGTCACTTTACCTCTCTGCCTCAGTTTCCCCATCTGTAAAATGGGGATAATAATACTTACCTACCTCACAGGGGTGTTGTGAGGACTCACAAACTTTTGTAAAGCACTTTGAATATGAGAAGCGCTATGTAAGTGCTGAGTGTTGATATGAAGTATTATTATTAATTAAATCTTGTGATACATAGAATTCCTTGTGCCAAAGGTGAGCAACTGTAGAAGGATACAAGGAGAAAACTGGTAAAACATTCCTTCGTAATGGCAAAACAAAGGCAATTCGCCCCTTTTTTTTCTCTTTATAAATACATGCTCATGGTGTGTTCTGTCCATTCCTCATCTGTCACCAGTTTCTACTGGCAAGTACACGTAGCCTCGTCTCTGGATTTGGCCTTTTAACTTACTGTGAGTGAAATTCATGCCCCGTGGTGCAGTCTGGCACCACTGTAATGCACTGCCCTCCTCCACCTTGCCGAGGCACTGGCTTTGTGTGGGTTCTTTGCACAGAGCTGGGTTTCACCTGCGGCATTGGGTGAGATCATGTCCTGCAAGGAGCGGCCAGCCCAGGTCTCCATGCAGCCAGCAATCCTCACTGCAGCAGAGAGCCTGAGCCAGCTGGAAAAGCTCTTCAGTCTCCATGCCACCGTGATCCTCAATTCGGAGGCACTTGGCTAAGGAAGGTTCAAGCACTACTGTGCTTTTTTTATAATGCCCCTGTGATGTTCAGTTAGACTTTATATGAAAACTCCTGGTGTTTTCCGTAGGGTTTCTTTTGCAGGAGCTTGTTGAAATTCAGCAGATGCGCTGTGCAGTGTGTGCCATCTTTTTAAGAGAAGATGGTTGAACTAGGAGTTGGAGGCCAAAAAAAAAAAGTTGAGAAATTGGGAACTTCTGAGCAGAAAAAAAAATGAGCAGGGATGTGGGTAGCACTGGTGAAACATCTGAATTGGTGGCCGCAACTGTGTACAAAGTTAAGCAGCTGTTCAAATGCATGGCTGAGGAGGGACCTAACTTATCTTTCTGCTCTGTAAAAGGAGGCTTTGGAGAGAATTGCTTAAGATGTAAGGCCTTGAAAAAGGGCCGGTCTGGGTAGTTGCTCCCAGCAAATACAACCTGGCTGACCTGCAGCCCTGAAAGTTTGGGTTTTTTTCCCCCAAGAACATTTGTAACATTTGCAAGTCTATAAAATAACCCTGAAATTATATCCAGTATATTTTTCCATTTCAAATGTGTTTTTAGGGGA